AGAGAGAGAGAGAGAGAGAGAGAGAGAGAGAGAGAGAGAGAGAGAGAGAGAGAGAGAGAGAGAGAGAGAGAGAGAGAGAGAGAGAGCAACACCCTGCTGTCCATGGACTTTGTATGCTTAGCATGATTTTCTACTGGGCACCAAAGATGGGCACCAAAGACCCAGAAGAGCAAGCAAACACCAAAGGAGGGATAAACACAGCTGAAGATCCCGGTGTGGCAGTCGGAGAGAGGTTCTCGGTATAGAATACCGAAAAAAAAATCCCTGGCCTGTGAGAAATCTGATCCCAGTCCGGGTTATTGGTTTTTACTTTTAAAAACACTCAAAATTTACATGAATGGTGGTTTGACATGCATCCTCCAGCAGTTCGCAGCCGAAAAATGAAGAAAGTTGCGACGAGGCATACTCGTCTATCCAGACCCCTACCCCAACTTCTGGCCAAATGTTCATCTGGAAAGAAGGCCCATGCAGTGATAAAGGAAACCCTACATCATCGAGGTTCCTTGTGCCACACCCTTCCCAGTGTTCCCGGTCTACCCAACCCCACCGAGGCTTTTGTAAACCAGGCTTCGAATCCATCCCAACGTCTGAGGACCAGAATTGAACCTGATCCGGCCCTTACGGAAATGCTGTGGACCATCCTGACCACACCCAGCACAGAGCCTGCAGGCGCCTTAAACGGCCAGAACACCCGGGCCTGCAGGCGCCTTACTGCGCGCCAAGCTTTTCCCAAACACCAGCGGCACACTTTTCTTCTTTTCTGGCTGGTGCTGCCAGTCATTGTGGTTCGGTAGGCCAAGCCTCCGCAATTTTTGTAGACGATGATTTTCCTTCTCAACAAGGCTGGGACACCATGTGCAGACTGATGTTTAACGCAAACATGCCCAGACCGATCTGATGTAAACCAGACCAATCTGATGTAAACCAGACCGATCCAAAGCTAGAATCCTGCAGGCTCTATTCACAGGGATCTGATGTAAACCAGACCGATCTGTCCCGATCTGTTGCAACCCAACCCACTTCGAATGAATGCAGACCATGATTCGATGCCATCCAGCGTGACCGTCATTACTACCTCAAAAGAAGCTCCACTTCGGGACCTAGAATCTGTTCCAGCGGACCCACTCGGAAGGATCTGTTCCAATGCGGACCCACGTAGAACCTAGGATCTGTTCCTGCTAGACGCACTTGGATGCAATCTGAAAGAAGATCCACACATAGTCAACAGGATTCTACGATGGATCTTCTTTCAGAATGCAGAAAAAAAAGCCTACCTCAACCACTTTCACCAGTCAAACCCAACCTGACAGATCAAACCCTAAACCCTAACCAACCTAACCTACGCAATCGCCGCAGAAAAATAAACCTGAGGCTGTCTGAGTTCAAACTCGCAATAACAATGATGTAAGCACAACAATCCAAAAACCTACAGCGACGTCGTCTCCCCAAGGAGTGTGATTTCAGTCAGCTGAGATAGTGTGCAAAAGAACAAGAACATTAGAAAAAGAAAAAATAAAATCAAATGAGCTGCCAGGCGAACTATGGACAGAAAAAATGCTGGAGTCATCAAAGCGGACAAAAACGATACATGTCTGTCTAGACCCTAGTTCAAACATCGCTAAACTTTCAATAGTAAGTCTTAGTCATTTTTCCTTCTTCTTCCTCCTCCTCCTTCTCCCCCCCCCCCCCCCCCCCCCCCCCCCCCCCCCCCCCCCCCCCCCCCCCTCCTGGCACCCCATCCTACCCTCCTTTTCTCCTCTACTTGCTCTTCAGTCCTCCTCCAACCTACCGGCTTCACTGGAATAGAACGCCCAGTCCTTATAGCTGTATTCAGGGCAACTTTCAGTCCACGTACAGCGAAAATGACAGGGCGTTCTATTCGGGTGAAGACAGTAGTATCAGTCCTTCTCTTTTTCCTTCCTTTTCTTCCTTTCTTCAATCCGCTCCTTGTTGTTCTCCATGGATCCTTGCTCATCACTCGTCTTTCCACCTTTGTCTTCAACCCTTCTTCTTCCTCCAGGTGCAGGAGAGCATCTAGACAATATATACACACAGATACGTATGATACATACCTGTATATAGATGTAAATATATACATATATATCGTCACAAACATATATATATATATACGTCTATATCGTCATAAACATATATGTGTCTGCACACCCTCCGCACCACGCCCCTTAGGAACAGAAGGCAAATGGATAAATGGATGCCTGCTGTTCGCTTCCTCTCCTCAATTCTCCTCCATGTTGTTGTTCTCCTAGGATTCTCGCTGGACGCTTGCCCTTCTTTCTCTTCAATCGTTTTTCGCTCTCTTGAGTCCTTTTTTTTGGCTTTCTTCAGTCCTTCTTCGTCCTCCGAGTGTAGGCGAGCATCTGGACGATATAGCTGCGCGCCCACTTGAAGTCTGCGCCACGCTCCTCGAGGACTTTCGCAAACCCGTCGATGGCCGCCTTCTGTTCCCTCGCAGTCGCAGAGAGGTCCAGGTACTCCCTCCGCACCTCCCGCGCAAAAGCTTTTATCTCTTCGAGTTTCTCAGGAGCCATGTCAGCCGCAGCACTTTTCGCCATTCCCTTTCTCGCTGATGTCTTGCCAGCTTCTACACTCATTTCAACTGCAGAAGGGTTATCTTTTCTTCCCCCAGACAGCTTGGCCTCGGCTGCAAGAGCGCGCTCCTCAGCAGCCTTCCACTTGGCAGACAGCTCAGCAATCACTTCCTTGTCTGATTCGTCCTCCTTTGAGGAAAGTGCTGCCTCCAGCTGCGCAATCCTGGCCTCTCTCTCCTCTCTTTCTTCAAGCAACTTCTCGATTCGCGATTCCAATGCAGTAGCTTGGTCAGCAAAATACCGTCTTTCTGAACGAAGGATGTCCAGCGATTCTTCCATCCTTTCCATCGTCGCATCCAGCTCCACAAGTGCTTGCTCCTTCAGTGCCTCTATCTCCTTTTCCTTCTCCTCAATACTCTGCCGATGTCGCTTCTGAGCGGCCTCGAGAGCTGCCGTCGCATCTTCCACCGCTCTTTCTAAGATCCCAACCGTTTCCTGCGACGCCTTCAGATCACTGGAAACTGAGTCCCTTTCCTGCTGCAAGGTGAGAACTTCCCCCTTCAAGGAAGTAATCTCTCTCTCCTCCTTCTCCTCCATTTCCATTGCCAACTGCCGCATTTCCTCGACATGGTGCTTCTGTGCTGACTCCAGTGCTGACCTGGCATCTGCTGCTGCTCCTTCCAGAAGGGCAACCCTTTCTCGCCCCGCTGTCAACTCGCTCAACAACACCTCCCTTTCCTGTTTCAAGGGGGGAATCTCTCTCTCCTTCTCCTCCAGTTGCATGGCCAACTTCTGCATTTCCTCCACGTGGCGTTTCCGTGCACTCTCGAGCGCCGACGTGGCATCTCCGGCCAGGCTATCCAAAACGGTCACCCTCTCCTGTGCCGCCTGCAGCTCACTCAGCAACGCCTCTCTTTCCTGCTTCAAGGGGGGAATCTCTCTCTCCCTCTCCTCCAGTTCCGTCGCCAACTTCTGCATTTCCTCCGCGTGGCGTTTCTGCACGCTCTCGAGCGCTGATGTGACATCTCCGACCAGGTTTTCCAAAACGGTCACCCTATCCTGCGCCGCCTGCAGCTCACTCAGCAGCACCTGTCTTTCCTGGCGGAGCTCAAGTTCCCTGTCGGCCAGCTGCTGCTCATGACGCTCCTTCGCTTCAAGCAGAGCCACGTCGGCATCCTCCTTCGCCTGTTGCAATGCCACGCAGGCATCATCTTCGGCCTTCTCCAGCAGGAACTGCTTGGCGTCCATTTCCTCCACGTGGCGCCTTTGTGCAGCCTCTAGCGCAGCCGCAGCATCTTCCACCGCTCTTTCCAAACCCGCGATCGTTTGTTGTTGACTGGCCTTGAGCTCATCGAGGGCTGCATCTCTTTCGCGAGCAAGCTGGACCTCCCTTCCTGCCAAATTTTGCTCGTAGACCTGCTTCGCCTCCTGCAATGCGGCCTCGACGTCCTCCTTCGCCTTTTGCAACGCCTTCTGCGCATCTTCCTTGGCCTGCTCGAGGAGGGATCGCTTCTCCTCAATTTCTTCAAAATGTCGTCTGCGAGCAGCCTCCAGCGCCGACGTGGCTTCTGCAGCGGCCTCCCCCAAAACAACGACCCTTTCTTGACTTGCTCTCAGCTCTCCCAATACCGCCTCTCTTTCTTGGGCAAGCTGCAGCTCTCTCGCTTCCATCTGTTGCTGTCGGCGCTGCTTTTCCGCTTGCAATGCCACATCACCATCCAGCCTGGCTCTTTGCAATGCCACGTCAGCATCCTGCTTGGCTCTCTGCAAAGCCATCTCCGCCTCCTCCTTCTCCTTCTCCAACACGGACATGGTGTCCAGCGCGTCAAGCCGTTGCTGAGCCATCTCATCCATCTTCTGCTTGAATCGCTCGTTCAGCGCAGCTATGGCTTCGGCGTGTTCCAACCGCGCGTTGTCCAAGGCAGCAACTGCTTCCGCCTCCGACTTCTCGAGCGCAGTCACGCGCTCCTCTGCATCTCGAAGCTGCGCTCGCATCCTTTCCTGTTCCAATTCAACCTCGGCCTCCTTCTCCTTCATCTGGAGCGCGTGGGTCTGTCTCATCTTCTCCAATGCGGCGACCACCTCCTCCCTTTCTCCTTCCTGCGCCTTCAGCTTCTTCGTAAGCTCCTCGAGCTCCACAGCCATCTGACAACGGAGTTGGGAGATCTCCTCCTCCCTCGCTGCGAGCTCCTGCTCACGTGCTGACGCAGCATTTTGCTGCTCCTCCTCCGACTGTGGAAGCCTCTGCAACGCAGACTGCAACTGCTCCCTTTCCTCTTCCTGAGCGTTCAGCTTCTTCTTAAGCTCCCCGAGCTCCACAGCCATCCGAGAACGGAGATGGGCGACCTCCTCCTCCCTGGCTGCGAGCTCCTGCTCGTGCGCTGACGCAGCATTCTGCTGTTCCTCCTCCGACTGTGCAAGCCTTTGCAAGGCAGATTGCAACTGCCCGGAGGCGACTTCGATCTGATCCCTGAGAGCTTTCTCTCTAGCGGCCAAGTCCTCCGCACGCTCTTCCAGCTCCGAAGCCCTGTGTCTCGCAGATCGCAGCTCGATGGACGAAGCTTCCTTCTCCGCCTGAAGCGCCCTCCCCTTCGCCGCCATCTCGGCTAGATTCATCTCTAACCTCTCAACCTTGCTCGTGGTCGACTGCAACTCCCGGGATACTAGTTCCTTCTGCCGCTCCAGCTCTCTCTCCTTCGACAGCATCTCTTCTTCGTGTCTCTGCTTTGCATCCTGCAGCTCGGCGATCGCCATGGCCGCCTTCTCCTCGAGAGCAACCGCCCTCTCCTTCGCCTCCTTCAGCTCCTCCGTCGCCTGCTCCTGTTGCTGCCGAAGAGCCTCCTCCCTCCCTGTTATCTGTTGAAGCTGCTGCTTTCTCGCCGTATCCAAGGCCGCCATAGCCCCTGCTTCTTTGCGTTCTAACTCCTCCACACGCTCCGTCAATCCCCGCCTGGTATGGACCAGAGCCTCCAGCTTCTGCATCTTCCACTTCAGCTGCTCTCTCTCCTTCTGCAGAGCTTCTAGGTCTTCCCTCAATACAGCATTGATTCGTCGGGACTTCATCTCTCTCTCGCTGATGAAGTTCAGTAGCGACGCAATCAACATCTGCTTGGTCCCGCTGTCGAGTCCTCCTGGCACACCGCCACCCGGCGGCGCGGCGGGAGCAGCACCAGCAGCAGCAACCTTATCCACTGACGAAGATTTCCCGCCGGCTGCAAAAGACGTGCTGTTGCTATTACTATTACTATTCTTAGTATAGTTATTATAGTTGTAGTTATAGATACGAGACCCGGCCGCCTTTTCTTGCGGTCCCTTTTCTCCGTCCAAGGGTCCGGTGAGAGAAGGGAGATGACGATCGACCACCGACCTCAGTTGCACCTCGAGCATGCTGGGGCCCCCCTGACCCGACACACTGTCTAGAAGCCTGCTTCCCAGTATCTTATCCAACACCCCCTCGAAGAGGGACTCGAGACGGGCACGCCCTGCGCCGCCAACAAGATACTGCATGGCAAATCGCACAGATACAGCGAATCCGACCAAGGTTTCTGCACCGGCGAGCAGGGGGATGGTCTCCACTCTCTTGAGGATGTACGACCCTATCTCCACAGAGGTTAGGACAGCTAGGCCGCAAGCCAAGGCAGAGGCGAGACTGAAAACCTTGGGATTGCCCAAGGACGCGAGACGACTGGGAAGGATCTGGCCGGCAGCATAAGAAGAAGAAGAAGGAGAAGGAGAAGTAGGAGGAGGAGGAGGAGAAGGAGCAGGAGGAGGTTGATTGATGGAAGTGGGCGAGAAGTCCTCTGCTGCTGCTGAGTTGGGCAAACCATTGATACTGTTTCCTGTGTTGCCACGTGGCAGATCGTTGGGCTTCTCTCGATTCTGCTGGTCATAGTCAAAGCTCGTCGATGAAGAGGAGGACGATGGAGATGGCCGTGCGCAAGCCGACGGCACAACCGGTCGTCGGCGACCACATACACTCCCTTCGTTCCTCCTCCTCCTCCTCCTCCCCCTCCCCCTCCTCCTCCTCGTCTGACCGTCACAGCACCCCCCACTCACTCCATACCCACGCGCTTGCGCCGACTCCTCCCCCGTCCATCTCCCACTCCTCCCTATTACAGAGGCATAACACGACAGAGGACGAGCTTCTTCTGCTCTCATCCGCCCGATCGGTGCCACGTGGCATTTTGCCCTCATCTGTCCCGACCTCATCACCCCACCTTGAACATCCCGCCGACTCAGCAGTCCCGACATCGTCCACCCAGCTGACGTGGACATGAACACCATCCCGCCGCAAGTCACCATTTTGTCCGCGAGATGATCACCGCTCAAACACAAACCGTGCACCTCTCTGATTACCTCTTCTAAGCACACAACAACAACCCCCCCCCCCTCCCCCTCCCCCTGCCCCCACTACTACTACTCCTGCTCCTACGCCCGTTTAACTGATCAGAGCAGCAGATACATTGCACTTGATCTTAGCCAAAAGGCCGAGAAAGGTATTATCTTTTTCTTCCTTTGTTTTTTGTCTTGCCTGTTTTTGGCGCCCTTTTTCCTTTGTCAATGCGTTTCTGAACATGGGTTCAAAAACGTGACCAGATTCATTCAGCCTCTCGACTACGGACGGATAGAGCTTAGCCGTCGATGTTGACAGAGCCCCCGAGCGAGAAAACTCCTTACCCCGCCCGCCGCTCCACGCGTCCGGCAAGGGAGCTGTACCTTTCCGAAAATGCGACCAGGTGCATGCAACTCGATCAGGCAAGTAGACGGAAACGGCAACAGCGTGTCCACTGGCGGGCGAACTGCAGAAGATTAAAAAAGGAGAGAGAGAGAAGAGGGGGGGGGTAAGGGGGGTGGGGGCGGAGGGGGAGAGAGACAAAAAGCCCAGCATTATTACAACACAATTAGATGTTGGCTCCTTTTTTTTTTTTTGTTCAAGTGGGATTGCCCCGACTGAATCAGATGTTGGATTTTGCTTTCCCCCCTTCCCCCCCTCCCCCCCCCAAAAAAATCGAAAAAGGTAAGGGGCAAAACGAAGTGCACACCACACACAAAGCAGATGTACATAGTAAGTCACTAGAAAGAGTAGACAAACAGCAGCAAAGACCCGCAATGCGGGATGTCAAAATAACAGTAGTATTAACGTCATGGACCTCGCATCCCACCCCCCCCTTCTTTGTACCTTCAACCCCCATCCCAACCCCCCTTCTTTGTACTGTCAGCCCCAGAAACCGCCGATCTCACCGACCGACAAAATACTGACGGCGGTCGTTGGAAACTAACACAAGGTCAGCTGCGGACGACTTCCTGAAAGCAGATCTGCTGCCCCGACTCAATCAGATGTTGGATCTTGCATTTCCGCAAAAAAGAAAAAAGAAAAAAGGTAAGTCGAGCAAGATAAATAGCAAGTAAGAGAGAGAGAACCTGAATCAGGTGTGGGATCTTGCTTTTCCTCAAAAAAAAGAAATAAAGGTACGTCAAGCAAAATAAATACCAGGTAAGAAAACAAAAAAACAAAAACAAAAAGCAGAAGAAGAAGAAGAAGAAGAAGAAGAAGCAAAACCCTTTTCTTTTTCATAAGAAGAATGCAAAACCCTCAAAGCTGGCTCTCGCAAGGTCTGTGTTTTTTTTTTTTTTTTTTTGGGGGGGGGAAAACAAGGTCTGTGATGAAGTCCGAGAGGGTGTAGTAGAGAAAACTGAAAAAAAGAAAGGAAAAAAGAAGGGGAGGGGGTAAGATTTTTTTTACAGTAGTTTCTCAAAGAAAAAAAGACAAAAATCCTCTATGAGCCACGTCTCCCTTGCTCGATAGCGCGCACGCGTCCACTACGCGGCAATCGCTTGTCACTCTTTTTTCCCTTTTTCTTTTTCCTGTTTTTTTTTCTTTTTTCTTTTTCCTGTTTTCTTTTTCTTTTCGGGAACATCTATCTTTCACTTATATTCAATGCCGAAGGCAAACACACGCGCTCTGTTTTTATTTCTTTTCTTTGACGCTTTAAAAACACTGCCAGTGAGGGACAGTCAGGATACAGCATTTCAACGTTTTCTACCAACCAAAAAACATGCCTACGGTTTACCGGGCAGTTCTGTTTGTGACGATATATATATATATATAGTCAAACAGAGGTGCCCGGTAAACCGTAGGGGCAGAGAGGGAGGGAGAGGGAGAAGAGGACAGCAAACGAGGGAGGGGCTGTGACAAACTGTTTCGTCGGAGTTTCACCTAGTACCTACTCATCAGGAGGCTGAACCCTCAACAGTCTGTCTGCGGAGACCCCTAACTGATTACACTAAGCGATAATCTCCTTCTGTTGGGGGGGGGGGGGGG